ATATATATATACTTTTTTTTTTTTTTTTCCCGGTGAAAGAATTACATAAATGAAGAAGAAAGCAGAAATATTAAATGCTATGAATAAATATTTACTGATTAATCCACTATTTTGTAAAAGAGAATTTCAACTGAGATTTGGAGCCAAATTACAGTAGGGCGAAAATTACTTTCAGAAAGACGGTGGTATTATTACTTTATTTTTACCCGGAGATTGGTAGGTCTGTTATTACATTTTGTTGACTTTAGCAATCCTTGTTGCATTATATGTCAATGGTGACAGTTCAAAAATGGGAAAAATCACTTTTTTTTGTTTCTTTTGGTATCTTCATTTTTAAGGCACTATATGGTTCTGTCCCAGATATATTGGGATCTCAATGTGGCTCCATGTTCAAATAGTTGAATTTTATCCGTTTTCAATACCTGAAAACCAAATGTGGTCCCTTATGCATCTGATACTTATTGTGCTTAAAGAAGAACAATTAAAAAAGAAATAATGTTGAAACTAGAAATGTATTTATTCACATAAAAGCAATAATGTCAGTGTCTTGATTTTCCAAATATACAGTGTTACTAATTAAAACAGGATTTCTGCAGGTCTTAAAAAAATCTTAAAAAGTCATAATTAGCCCTTCCACGGGGAGGCCTTAAAAAGGTCTTAAATCAGAGCAGAAAACCTTAAATTCACAAAGTCATGGCATTAAATGTTGCATGCGCTGCAAAAAATCTTCCCCCGTATTTTGTGTTTTCCTATTGCAAATATCTAAACATCCTTAAATCAATGTACTTGTACTTGAAATGAAAATGTAAATTCTTGAAAAATGATAATTTGACCTTTGAATTAAGATTTCATTCACTTAATTTTTAATTAAAACATTTCTCAGAAAACAAGACTTACTGTTTTATGTTGTCTTGCTTCTCATGTAAATGTGTATGATTTAAGAATCTTGCACTGAAAAAAAAAGACAAAATTACTAATGTTTTGCAGTGTAATCAGAAGGTACAGTAAAAGTTATTTCCATATTCTAATGGTTGGAGGCAGAGGTATTCAATGCCTTTTTTTGTCAAACTAATTAAAAAGTCATGGAGATTGATTAGAAGTTGTATTTTACAAATAATATACTAAATGATACAAAACATTTACATTTTGAGAACATGAATGTATGTTTTCTTCAGTTTATTCCTTAAAGGTTTTAAAAAGTCTTATATTTACTGTCATAATTACCCTGTTATTAGCAAAGCATGGACATTTAGCTGGTGCAACACATTTATTTCATTTTTAGATTTCAGGATTTCATCTACAAAGCACTGGAAGGCATACATGATCATAGCTGGTTGGTTTGGTTAATAAAAAGCTCTATGGGAAAATGAATGGGAAAAATACCTGCAGGCACCAATGCCACTGAAAAAGTGGGCGAGCACTGTTGCCCACTACTGCTATTTAGCTATTGTTTTTTTTTTTAGTGTTTTTGTAGGTGATGCAGTCCTTTGCTAATTACTAACACACTAATCTGAATGCAGTTTGACAGTAATCTTATGATAGCATATAATTGAGAGAGATCTCCAATTCACAGGCATTCTGATATGAAACACCCACTTTTGAACCCACTTTTCACCCCTGGACTCTAACAGTTAACCATGGCAACCTAAAAATAGTCGGTTTTGTTCAATGTGCGACTGGACTTTTATTGCAGTGAACTCAATGCGAGCTCTCTGTAAGCATATGTTAATGATTATGAGTGGGAGAATGTGTGATAGTTTGTTCTCGGTGGACTTATAGAAACAGAGCTGAAGACTTTTAAAAGTAAACACCATATTGCAAGATGTGTTAATTGGGGAGTTAATTGTCGTTAAGATGTCTTAATTAGTCATTAAGCCAAGCTGTTCCTCCTGCTGAGGTCTGGTTGGCCCTGTGCCCACGACTCTCCAGCCACAACTTCTGCTTCTCCATTATTGTCTTAATGTTGAAGAACTTCAGTCGCTCTCAAACACACCCCGAGGAGCATCTGATGATGTTCTTTCATAATAAGTCTAAAAATATGAATTATATTGTTGATAGTAAACACAAATAATGTATATAATTATTCTATATATTATATAAGTATTTCATTTAATTGTTGTAAAGTGGTGCTGTTTTATAGTGAATATTTTAAAATGTGTAAGGAAACAACACTGGTGAAAAGATGAGATGCAGCAAGATAAAAAGGCTGAAAAATATATATATTTTTAAAATTTTGAATGTTTTATTTTAATTTTTTGTTTGTTTTGGTCATTTTGGTAAGTGTTTTTGTCATTTTTTATTAGTTATTGTTTTTAATATTTTTATTTTAGCTTTATTTTTATTTGTTTTTACTTTAGTTTTGCCAGGGCAACACTCATTTTTTTTTTTTAAGTTTACATTTTATATCTAATTTTTAGATTTTATTTTAGTTTCAATTTACAATCCAAAATGAGACAATTGTTGACATACAGTAAGAGTATAGAGCTGTGAAATGAATGTGAATAGGAGCTCAGATCTTTCAGATTTGGAAAAATGTGATGAGAAATGTTTGAGTTGAGATTTCTGTAGTCTTTTTCTTACACTCTAAAAAATGCTGGGTTGTTTCAACCCAACTTTGGGTCAAATATGGACTAACTCAACCGTTGGGTTAAATTTTTACATTCAATTTTTAACCCAAAAGTTGGGTTAGTCCATATTTGACCCAAAGTTGGGTTGAAACAACCCAGCATTTTTTAGAGTGTAGGAGAAATATCTGAGAAGCAGGAGAACTTCTCATCAAATCTTCTGACCAATCAAATGCTCTCTAGAATCCAAAGCACCCGCCCCCTGCACTATAAATAGACGCTGAAGCTGCGGCTGAGATCGGTCGCTTGTTCACAGTGTAGTATTTCCTGTACGGTGAATGGCTCGAAGTGCACAATGTAGGTGATAGGGAACGATTCAGACAGTGTGAATATGCTTTCCATTGGTGCAAATGAGGTCTGGTTTCACGCGAACCGCGTCAGCGCACACAGTCTGATCCGACTTTGGCTCCGGTCCAGAGACGCGATCGCACGGAGCGGATCATATGCGCGAGTCGGCATATATTAAAAACTTTTTCAACTACACAGCCTCAGCATGATTATGACCACTATTTTGTTTTACTAAGAGTTTCATATTGAATCTAGGGGGTAATCTATTAGACTGTGG